CCCCCCTCCCTTTATACATTTTTCTGTTACTAGGCTGGTATGCAACCGCTGGCAAGGCCCCCCGACTCAGACATGGCTGCTCTCATAGAGCTCAAAGAAAGTTTTTATTTAAATGTTTTGATTTTGGAGTGCCTTTATTTGGAAAGCTGCTTTTTTCTGGTGGGCTTTTTGTCAATAACTTTTTTTGGGGGGGGGTTGCCTGTGGTGTGGTGGCTAACGTTTGTGTTGTGATGGAAGGTGGGCGTCAAATTATTATTATTGTTTTTCCCAAGAGAGAAGGAGGTGGGGGCTCTTATGAAATACTTGAAACACTCTGTGTTCATCTCTGACGCTGCTTATTCACTCTATAGCCTGAACAGGTGTTTAGAAACTGAATCCTGTCTTTTCTGAATGTCTACACTCACCTCCCCCACCTTTTTCTCTCACCCCCCCCCCCCCCCTTCTTTTTTTTTGCCTCCCACCATTTTCACTGCTTGACGTGGCCCCCCCACCTCTGGCCTCCCTTGGGGTTTGGGGTGTAGATGCACAATCAATGCAATTTAGGTTTTTTTTTCTACAAATATTGTACAGCGTGTTTTTATTTCATTCTCTTTTTGTGTATATGTTTTTTTTCCCCGTTTGCATTTAATTTATTCATAAACATGTAGACATTCCACACTCTGTGGCTATTTATTTTTTATTTATTGTCCTTTTTTTTTTTTTTTTCTTCTTAAAAAAAAACAAAAATCTTCCCATACAAATTTGTAACCCACCCGTCCCCCACTTGGCCTTTTGGTTTGCATTCCTATAACTTGTTTTTTTACATTTCAACTTCTTTCTGAGATGTGGAGGATGCACTGAAGCAGTTGTAACGCAGAATAAAAGGTTTACTTAAATTTGGACAACACGGAGCATTTTGAATGTTATTTAATTTAGAAGAGCGCGTCGTGATGTTGGCCGATGACGTGTCGAAGTCCTAAATCTGGTTCGTGTTCTGTCGAGGGTCATTTGGAGAAAATCAACAGGTGGAAGAGTTTTTCTAGTCGTCACAGCCTCTTGTTGGAGACATTTCAGCTGTGACGCGGCTGTGATGGATGGATATTGCTATTTTTTGATACAAAGTTTCAATTAAACACCTGTTTTTATGTACAGATACACGTCTGCTGTCTTGATCATTCTGAGCCCAAACCTGTAACTATTCCATCAACTTACGTGACATGGGAGTAGCTAAGAGTTATTCTCAACATGTACCTCAAGCACCAATAAGGTTATGAAAGTCTCCCCACTGAAGAAGCACAATGACGATATGTTCTGTATAAAAAGTCATTTTACATTGTGTTTAAGAGCAGCTCTGCAACATGTGACGACTGAAGACGAACACACGAGCCATTAGCTCCACGACAACTTGAGGGGCTGATGAGAGCCATGTGTCTGGGAGGAGAGGAGGGATGCTGTAACAGCGGGAAAGAAAAACATATATAACTAATTGCTTTTGCAGTGTCGGCCTCCTGCTTTACAAAAAGCCAAGTGGTCATGAAGGCTGAGAGCAACACGAGTGTTTCTTGATGCTGCTCCCTCTGGCGAGTCGGTGCCACTGTTTTTACCACCACACGTGAAGAACATGACAGATGAACGCCACATCAGACCTACACTTTAATTTCTAATTAAAATTTGAAGTCCTTAGCCGTGTCGGCCATCTTGATATAGGCTGACAGCTTTAAAGAAGCAAACTCAAGCGCTTTCCCAGAATCCTTTGCGAGCCTGCCATTTGCTTCAGATTCAGCGGATCGAATTCTTGATGAAATTACAGGTTTATTTGCATAAAACAAAGACGTTTTACTTTTTTTTTTTCCTCCCTACTTGGAATATGCAGTAGTCCCTCGCTACTTCGCTGTTCATTTATCGTGGACTCGCTCTATCGCGTTTTTTCAAAATAAGAGTGGACATGACACACAATTGGCTGATTGATGGATGAGCCACAGGATCGGCATGGACTTTTTATTTAAAATAAATTATTTTAAATTAGTTAGCACCTGATGCATCTTTGTGCAGCCCACACTGCAGGATAAACTTCCTCCTGCATCTGATGATCTCGTACAGAGTGAAGTGGGCGTGGCCAAGAGCACTTGCAGGTGGCTGAGAGCAGCTGAGGCAAAGAGCTGAAATCATGACATTCTGTGCTCTTAGAGCGTTTAAAATTTAGAAACTGTTTAGAATAATGCAAGAGTGTGGGGTTTAAAATACACACACATATATA